CTGTGTATATTGGTATATGTCACAGGCTACTTTTTATCTTTTTGTGACGCGAGCGAAGCCGCGGGTAAAAGCAAGTAATTCAATAAATTACAATTTTGTATCTAATTTTTTTTTTGCTGATCTCATTATGTGGTAATTAATAAATTATAAGACGAATGTGACTAATAAAATGCTGTTTTATTTGGAAAAACTGGTGTAAATAATATAAAAATAGAAGCTATATTAAAAAGAAAAAGAGTTAACATGTATAATGTGCATTAAACTGTCCAACACCAAGCGGTCACCGGTGACCGCAACCTATTGTTCTATAATTGTGTCTATAATGACGGTATCGACGAGTTAAGATTATTAGCTGTGCATTGATGAAAAAGCTTTTGCTTTAGGAAAAATCGCTGTACGCTGCGAAAATAAAGTGTGTTTAGGGATAAAATATCCCTAAACACACTTAATAAGCAACCCAAAATAAGTTGAATATTTTGCTGTGCAATCAGTAATTTTGATGGGAATTCGGAGTCTTATTGCATAGAAAAAGGATATTTTTTTTGCGTTTAAATACCACCTAGTCTTTTTTCTAAGATTAATGATTACAAAGGTTACAAATTGCACTTTCCAAAGTAATAGTCTATGATCCAAACTAATGTACAGCCTGACCAGAAATATTATAAATCTGTCAGAAGGTCGCTTTCGTGTTTTAACTGTCAATCTTCTATCAAAATGTATGACGAAAATTCGTTTTAATAATTCCGCAATATGGCGAAGTTTTTATTTTTTCTGGTCAGGTTTATTTTGTAGGTTAACGAAAACATCGACGTGTTTTTATGTTGTCAATGATTTTTTAAAGATTTATTACAAACGTTAAAAAGTGCACTATTCACAATAGTAGTCTATGATCTAAACTATTGTCTACGTCTCGAAAGTTCAGGTACTCTTTAAATTTGTTTGTTTTGAAAGGTAAGGAAGTTCTTATTCCAAGGATTCCGATGATCCCAACGGATATGCCCTCTGAATTCAAACGAATTCAATTCCCGATTCGGCTTGCCTTCGCCATGACAATTAACAAATCACAGGGCCTATCATTGACTATTTGTGGCCTCAATTTAGAAATTGCATGTTTTTCTCGTGGCCAATTGTACGTGGCATGTTCACGTGTCGATGTCGTTAAACCACCCGCTATATAATGTTCTTGCGCCTGACAAAAAAACAAAGAATGTCGTTTACCACAAGGTGCGTGGATAAACAGAGTTAATCCGATTGCATCAAATGCTACACAACATACTTTAATTGAATTAAAAAATTTCTGACACGGGTTTGAAGTACCTACTTACTTAATTTTTATTTGTATTCTCTTTCTGTATGTATTGTTCATAATAATAAAATACTTTTATTTAATATCTATGTTCATATTTATATTGTATCATTGTATTACGTTCATCAAAGCCTAAATTAGTTCAGCTAAAAGGTAACACGACATTAATTGACTGTTAGGCGGTACGAAGTTCGCCGGGTCAGCTAGTAATCGATAAACAAATTACTAGTTTTGGAAAAAAACATTAGAATTCTTACGTCCGAATACTGAAAAACTACTCAATTTTAAGCTATACTTAAATATCGTAACATCTCTGTCATTTTACAAAGAATTTATAGTGACAGAACTATACGCGCGACTTAAAATTGAGTGACATTTAAGTGTATCGACATTAGCCAAACAAAAATTATTTTGATTTGTAATGGCCAGTATTGCCGTGCAGCAATGTAATAAGTAAAGACCTAATATGTATATTTTTTTAATAAAAAAACGTTGCCCCACATAAGGATTTTCTCCTGTGTCGTGGGTGCGTTTACAAACATACAAGTTCATATACATGACACCCAGACCCGGAACAACGATCTGTGGATCACACAGAGTGGTTCCGTGTGGGAATCGAACCCGCGACACGTTGCGCGGTAGCCAGTTGCCCAACCACAGCGCCAACCGTGCGGTCAAAATCAGTCAAGTTTTATGGAGGGGTAATTTTTTGTGGCTTCAACGGTTTTGCATACATACTCCATACCACATCTCCTTTTTAATATATCTATGTGTTTCAATATATCTATGTGTTTAATATATCTATGTTTCAATCTTGTCCTTGAGTCTTGATGACTTTTTATTGATTTTATTATGGAGCTGTGTTTACGACTCTTTTAATTGAAAATGATACCTTTATTTTATTCATACACATTATTATTACACACATTTCATAAGTGAATAGGTACCTACAATAAATACTTAGTAGTATTAGGTGCAATAAATATTTATAAACTTCCATTCATAAGTATAAGAGCAATTCTATTTTTTAACAATACAATATTATTCCGACTCTGTACGCTCTAAACACCTTGTAATTTTCTGCACTGTTTTACGATTAAAACACTTACGGAACAAGAAAACATTTTATAAGATTTTGGTAAAAGGGCATTGACTAAAAAGGCACCAAGCCTTTCTTTTTTCTGGCGGCAGTCGATGATCTATGGAAAATATTATTTAGAATGACATTACAAATGAAATTGTCTATGGGCTCATATTGGAAATCTCGGTCTGGACTGAGTTATGAGCGTTGAGCTGGAGTCAAACATTTTACTTTGGTTTTTTATTCAAATTATTCAGACTTTTGTCACAATTCCTAAGTTCAAATTGCGGGCCACTGTACGCCGGGCACAGGAACACCATATCTCACCACAACATATCCATATTGCCAGGCACTTATTTTTATCACCTATTTTCTCTCAGTCGATAACTTGTATGATGCTTCTAGGAGTTGTGTCATGAAGCTTCATGAGCGTCAGCTGTGGTACCAGTGGTGGGTTGAGTAGTGGTAGCCGTCCAAACATCTAATAAAGTATTATTTTTTTTGTCGTTGACTCCTGGTAGGAGACTCATCTACATTATAGATAGCATAATCTTTTGAAGAAAGGAAACCGTCGACTTTCTAAAGTGATGGACTATACGTCAGATGAGCGCATAACTTTTTCATATAATGAACGATCAGTCGAAATATAATCCATCACTTTGTGACTGAATGACAATATCTTTGTACAGAATCTTATGCTAGCTGTAGAGTAAAGTATTAACTGTAGCTATATTAGTTAATAATCTGAAGAAAGTTGGGAGAAGTAGACAGAAAAATGATTTTTCGGTTTTCACGCCTTGTGTACTCTTCTAGTACTTAGAGTGAAGTTCAGTAGTCGGGATGACGTCCAAATTGAAAGAAAAAAAAATATTTATTTGGCAATTGCCACACAAAAACAAAGATTATAAAAATAACTTTACAGATACTTATTCAGGGTGTCCTTGAAGTCGATACAGGTGGAATTTTGGAATTTTGTAAAGCCACCTGAAGGGGAAGTAGTCTTAATTTAGATAGAAAATATTACTCAAAGAAAACATTCCTTTGAAAAGAAAGAAAAGTGCATTCAAATATTTTCAAAAATTCGCTGGTCGCACACGGTAATTGAACCGACTAAAATCTGTAAAAGTTGCAGCCTGTATTTTTATTGCATCGAAAAGAACTTTGTTATTGTACTACAGTAGAAACTCGATTATCCGGCTCTCAGTTATACGGATTCGCGATTATCCGGACTACCAACTCATTATATTAAAATTACCTACAAGCCAAATTTATGCAAGCATGAACGTCTCGGACCTGCACTACCCCGCACGCGCCCTGCGCGATTCGTTATTGTTTTAGTTAGTTAGCTAGGTGTTGTTCCTCCGAACAGAGGCCTTAGTTCGAGTTCTTTTTCGTTTAAAGTAATAGGAAACGAAAAATATACTTGTACTGTATTTGTTGTTTTTAATAAATAAGATACTAACATCGTATGTACAACATATATATATATGTATGCACAAAACCCGCTTTTATTAGTACATTCGATTATCCGGATTTTCGATTATCCGAATGCCTAACGACAATAATTAGTCCGATTAATCGAGTTTCTACTGTACCTTGGTCGATTGTTAGACTAATATTATTAGAGCCATCAGACCACCACAGATGGGGCCCAATAGGGCCGATGCCGATTCGGAGTCGCGGAGAACCTAACGGGTAACCGGGGCTCCGACTCGACGTGCAGGAGAAGGAACGGGGTGGTTTTAGTCACTAAGAGTCTGACACTCCCTCCCGCCACACCCAGGCGAGAGCAGTCATTCGATGATTTTCCCCCCTTAAAAAAAAGACTAATATTACTAGTATTAGTCAATTTAGGCTATTTAGGCTATTATTAGTATTAGTAAAGCTTAGGAATTGTAGATGTTTTTTTTATAAAAAATGCTCAAAAAGTGTCATAATATTTTTTTGTAACAGAGAAGCATATTCCTGAGTCATATTAAAAAAAAAAATCCTGTCACTTTTTTATATACAGCTGAAGAGTTTGTTTGTTTGAAAGCACTAATCTTCGCAACTACTGATTCCAATAGAATAATAATTATTTCGTTTGCTCATTGGAGGTTGGCTATTTCAGATTTATAATTCTATATTATAAGTCCAAGTTGCCCCACGACGTTTGTCTTCACCGTTTGTCAGTGTCTAAATTATCTTAAAAAATACATATAACTTGGACAAAGTTACATTGCGGTCTGCGATTAATAGGAGCCGAGCGGTGTTCTTTGATCAGAAATAGCTAAAACATTTACGTCTCTATATTGTTTGAAAATAGGTACTTGGTAGAAATATTTACCTTTATGTTGAGTATTAGTGCTCTACAACTGCATTATGATACATGATAATTATGAAATTACACATGTTTAGTATATTCCGAAACATTGTTGTTAATTACAGTACTGACTTACATTATTTAAGTAATGTAAATAGGTTTGTGAATGTGAGCTCATAAAATACAAATCTTGCAAATAAAAATGTAAGTGTTGATTCACTATAAGCTCTTAAACCAGATTCAGGTTGCATGGATGTTAAATTAAATTTCCCCATAAAATAGAAATCAGAATATTTTTTTTGTTTTAACAGGCAAAAGACTACAAGAATGGGTCTGTGTGGTGGTTTGTTGCACGTTGTGTGTCTGTGCTGGTGTTCTCATGGCCAGACATATACAAGCGGATGCCTCATTATTATTAGCAGCAATTTCTGGTGTTCTAACAGCAGATTTTGCTTCAGGCGTAGTGCATTGGGCTGCTGACACTTGGGGAGCAGTTGATCTACCTGTTATAGGCAAAGTAATAATTGTCTTTACAAGATCCTTTAGTGATTGTTTGATTCATTTGTACTATACCTGCAAACATATTTCCATTTGCTTGCCTTCGTCATTCATTACAGACTGTTTCTCAAATGACTCATTCTTTGATAGGGAACTTACGTGTATTATTATCTTAGCCTCATGGATAAGATATTATGTAGTAGGGCTGAAATTAAAATTCTCCTCATAAAACCCATATGCACATACATATGCACATCTGCATTAGACAAAAGAGGTTCATAGAAACAGGTGTGCACAACATACATTTTTCCAGATAAATTCAAACTATTTAAATGAATAATGGTCCCTGTATAAAACATTATCTATATCTATATTGTACGTGCCTACACCTATTTATATCATGTCTCAGACAAAGGCATCCCCACCAACCACAGCCCATACATATTAATGTAATAGGACTTGCACGTTTATTTATTAAAATGTATATCATTTATGTATCCTCAATGTCGCAACCTTTTGACCGCCACGATATAGAAGCAAAGACGTACCACGCGGTGCCAGTGGCGTAGCTAGCATAGGTGGCACCCGGGGCGGATTTTATAGGTGTCACCCTAAAACTCAATCGAAACTGTTAAAATTAAAAAAAGTTATAATCATTTACGTTTTATTAAAATATGAGTACCTATTACAAATATTTGTTTATTATGTAAAACAAATTTAGTTTGTTAAAAATTAAAATTTCTTCCTTCTAGCTTTGACACTAGCGAACTCCGAAATCACGTCTTCAAAATTTATATTTTGATTTTTTATAAATAGAAAGAACTATAACTGATGGTCATAGTCGGGCTCGGGTGTCACCCCTAAACGGGTGACACCCGGGGCGGGCCGCCCCCGCCGCCCCCCCTTAGCTACGCCACTGCGCGGTGCTCTCAGCGCTAAGCTAAGATTCATCTCACGATTAAGACACTGGCGGTTAAAAGGTTAACTATAATGTCTAGCATAGCTTCTATACATTTGTGCTACCTATATAAACTGTCACAGGTTTCAATTTAGCAACTGTAAATGTATTTTAAATACCACGTTATTGAAACGTGTGACGAGTTTCATAAAATGTATTTTCGCCAGGGCGCTGTTATCTTGGCTTTTGCACGTAAGTAGTGTACTTCTATAATACCTAATTATCAATCACGCGTGTCACCATCACCTCACATATTTTAATTTTAACCTATTTATAAGTGTAAGGTTACGATACGATACAATACGACGTTATTTTTGACTGTCATTTTTGTCATCAACATTTGAATTTCTGTGCTTATTAAGGATACTGTAGGTATACATACCGGCTTAGGTATTTATACCTATAGTATCCTTAATGGAGGTGCGCGTATTCAGCTAGGCTACTCTGTAACTTTCAATTCGAATTTTCGAAGTGAGGTCGATGACGGTTTGCCATGTCATTGGTTGTCAGAATAATATCGACCACTAACGGGCGAGAATGCGATCGAGGTCACTTCGAAAGTTAGAATTACAGAATAGTCTGGCAGATACACTGTTTCACATAGGTAACTAACTTTTTGACTTTGCAATTAAGTAGGTGACTTGTTGACGCGCACTAGAAACTAAAATGTCCCTTCGTGTCCCCTCCTATTCGCAGTCTATCGTCTTCCTGTCTTTTTATTGTTCGGACAAAAACGGATATCAATCGGGTATCAACACAAATTTCCTGAATACACTAACGCTTATAACCACTTCATCAACATTTGATTGTAAATGTGGGAAAGCCATGCTTCTGCACGAATCTGTCGGCTCGATCGGAGTGATACTACGGCCTCACAGACAACCGTCATGAAACAACACTAGCGTTGTGTTTCGTCATATGAGTGAGGTTACCGGAGGCCCAATTACCCTCCTCCCCAATCTCTCCAATCCCCGAATCCCCAACAATCCGCAAATTCCTAATACTCAAATGGCCGGTATCGCACTCGTGACACCTCAGAACTTTCGGGTGTCCATGGGCGGCGCCGATTGCTGTGACATTATCAGGTGATCCATATGCTCGTTTCCCGGCTTATTCCATAAATAAATCAACGAGGAAGTTCAAACGTTCCATATTTCAGAAATGTAATTGAGTACTTTTAAGTTTTGAGCATTTCTAGATCGCGGTTTCCATTTTTGCGTTGAGCTAAGCTTTACAGGTATTTTCTCAGCACTAACAAAGTTTGGATCTGTGCGCAGGTGCGCAGTGTAGGACGTTAGATCCGTCTCTTTAGGTGGTTTAGCATGTAAAAATTATAATCTCTTACTATTTTGCAAATTACAACTCGATATTGGATAGTATAATGATTAAAACATAATTATTTGCGGTTGGTAGGTAAGTACCAAAATCATTTTAGTAAAAATATTAGAGTTAAATCGATGCATTTAACAAGTATCACATTATTCGAAACTAGCTTCTGCCATTAGCTTGATTCTATAAGCTAATAAGTAAACTAACTAATAAGTAGCCCATATATTACTTCAGACCATCTTCAGATCGTAATCGTCCGATTCCGATTAAACGGTAGTTTTTGCATGCAGCGTGAACATACAGACAAAATCTTGTTAATTCCCATTTTTGAGTTAGGTGTCTATCTAGTAACACCCATACTATTTATTTGTTTAATATTTTCAATGTACAGAATATACACTCCTGCAGTTTTATTATATGTATGTAGGTAGGTATAGGTAGGTACTAAATGTATGATACCTACAATCTAAATAACCAATAAAATATGAAAAAACAAGTGCAGGTAAATTCTACTTCTCACGTTTTTATTTTTTCGCTATCTTATCAAATACATACGTGTATTGATCACCGTTTAATCAGTCTATTTAATCTGAGTTTAAAACACTTTAGGTACACATACATTAAATTGTAGGTTTCCCGAGTATCCACGCACTACTATTGCCTCTTTCTTAAGTACCATAGCAAAGTTGTGTATTTTCCATTCGGTAGATCAATCAGAGGAGGAAACTTAACGTTTTTATTACCTAATTCATTTTGATGAATGAATTAGGTAAAGAAACGTCTTTACCATACCAACCACAGAAATCAATATTTAATTCTAAATCGAATCTGGTGACATTTGCTACAACCGTAGAATATACCTTAGAAAAGACTAATTTACAAACCCAAATTCTCGCAAAAGTCGCAGAAATAAGTATTTCTGCCTGGAAACTCCTCCTTAGCTAGCATGACTGCTTCGCAAAAGGAGGAGACGGTATCCCAGTCCTCCTCGCTCCGCATCATGACCCGGACTAGGGCCAGACGTGAGAGGTCGTCGTCGCCGATCACAATTCACATCCCTGTGGGCACGGCGGTGCTTAGCCTACTACTATACTACTACTAGTACTATACACTTACACAGAGAATACACACACATTGATACGAATGACATCTGCCGCGTGACATGGCCCGTCATTACACTTCATACGTTACGGTGTTGCACGTAAACGCACATGTAAATACAACACTGACATTACGTCCACCTTATTCTCAACGTCCTTGACTAAAGGTGTCAATTTACCTCCCTTTATTATATCACTAAACTGATTTAAATTTAATTTGGTACAACGATACTTGGAGACATGGAAAAGGACATTATGTTTTTATCCCGGAAATCCTACTTTTAAAGGAGAAGCGCTGACAAAACGGTGGCAAAAACGGTACTTTATAACTAGTCAAATTCATATGAATTAAGTATTGAGATCGCAACATATGATGTCATCATATGTTAAATATCTAGAAAAAAAATGTTGTAGGTAGATATAGCAACAAAATAATGAATTATAGTAAAAAAGAACTATTTATTTTTTTATGTTTTATTATACA